GCCCTTGCCAAAGCAGATGACCTGCGCTTGACCCCCACAACCTACAGACTGGTAGGAAAGAAGCAACCCTGTGCCAATTTTCCTCTGACCACCACTTCATTGTGCTTGTACTCTCCCGCATAAATAACAGGTAAATACATAAGACGATTTTTATTAGCAAAACTAAAGATAAAGGATTAGAAAGAATGAAAAAGGAATCTGTGCAGCATAAGGGCGATGGCAGAAACGCATCATTGGGGCCCAGCTAGAAGCGTCTGTAGGCTCTCTACAGTAACAAAATTCCATCTCTAGAGTGACAGGAGTGGGGCAGAATTTAGGAACAAACCATATAGGTACCAGCCTGAACCACTTGGAGGTTGGCTTAGCAAAGAGTGAAGTAATTGAGCAGAGATGTGGAGTAAGGCCGCCAAATAGGAAAGAGAAAACTACGCGGGAGAATCAGTTCAAAGCCCAGCATTCACAATGAGCAAAGAGCTGTTGGTGAACCCGGGCGGTGTGGCCCAAGTTCACCCTGCGCTCAGACTGCTCTTCTAGACGAGCCGTCTACAGGGAAGGACAAACTCATACTGGATTTATTTTGGAATGTCAACTCATCTGAAAATAATGGTAACTGATTTTACCTCCCTAATCACTCCCTGCTTTTAATCATTCTCCCTGAGTCTGTAAGAAGATCTCAGGGAGACAGGAAGCATTTCTCTTCGTTTTCGGCTAAGCATATCCATCTTTAGCTGTCTTCTAGACTAGTTCTTCTGCCAGTCCGAGTCCTTGAGATCTCAGCAGGCTTCAGCCCATCAAACCTGATGCCGGTGCTTCCTCCCAAACTCTCCGCATCTTAAGAGGCTCTCTTTCAGGACCTCCTGCCTTGGTTTGCGTTTTAAGGTTGTATTATCTCCCAGGGGCAGTACAGAAACTCCTCCCACCACTACTGGCACATCCTCATTTCATCTCAGGCCTAATCTCTTCATATCGATGTGCACCTGGAAGGTGTGATTGATATTAATGGAGTGGGAACGAAGGGCATTTATCTGGCTCTGGTAATTAATAGTTATGAATAAAAGATGTGTTAAAAAATAGTAACTGCTCTCCCCACTTGCCCTTGGTCACCTGTGGCAAAGAGGAGAGCTGACCCAGCCCCTCGCCAACTGCAACACCTAGTCACGGCAGCACAGCAATGCTGACCATGGTGACGGGGACAGATGAGTCTGGATGTGAGCATGGGAGATCTGCCGCCCCATCTGCCATAGGGTGGCACGAACACAGGAGAGATGCTACCCCCCTCACCACCTGTGGCAGGAGGAAGAGTTGGCCCTGAGGTCATGTGCATGGGAGAACTGGTCCAGCACCTCACCAACTGCAGCACTCAAGAGAACAGGCCTTGTGCCTCACTCAGACAGCACAGTAGAGCTGGCCCTGCTGGTAGGGGCTCAGGTGAGCTGTTCCCAAGAGTATGAGCTTAGGAGAGCTAGCCCTAATACTTGTCTGCCGTGTGGTGGCGTGGGCAGGGGAGAATTACTTCCCCCTTGCCCCTCACCCCTCATAACCTGACGCAGATAGAAGCTGACCATTCATGAGAGCAAGAAAGCTGGCACTGCCTCTCACTAGCTGCAGCACTCAGAAGAATGACTCACACACTTCACCTGGGTAACATAATAGAACTGACGCTGGCGGTATAGGTGTGGGTGAGCCAGGTGTGAGAGCAGGAGGGTCTTGCCCCTTTCTGCTTGCTACATAGGGTAAGCTAACAGGGCAGTGCTGGAGAGCTCACCCTGATGGTGAGGATGAGGAAAACCTGGTGAGCTGACAAACCCAGCAACAACCCAGGCTCAAAAACAGGGCTGTGAGATGGCCCACCTCATTTATGATCTGCTGGAGCTCATGAAGGGGCCAGCCCTATAAGACCCAAAGCTGCAGGATCTCCATGACACAGGACAACAACAGGATACTCCAGAGGAGTCCCAGTTAGGGCTCAGCATTGATAATGTAACAGAAACCAGAGGCTTCTAATCAGACCAATGAACACTTGCAAGTAGAGATGTATAAGCTAAAGGGTATACTCTGTGGCTCACTGTGCCACACTGCAGCTTCCACGATGAGATTTTCCTTTTTCACTTTTTTCTTTTCCTTTAAATTTTATTTTATCTTGGGGGATTGCAAAGAGATGGGGAGATGAAAAAGATCAAGAGGTATGATGTCAAATCCACAAAGAATCAATAAAAGATGGAAGAAAGAAAGGAAGAAAGGAAGAAAGAAAGAAAGAATCATGAGTCCTCATTTGAACTTCACTTCTGAAATATAATATACTATGACACTAGTCTTAGTAGTTGTGTTTTTTCAACTTATCAAAACTTCCAATGTCTCTAGGAACCTTACTTGATTGTCACTAGCAAGTTAACTATGGCTTTGAATGAATTACTAACCTAACTAAAAATTGACCATACTTTCAGGAATAGAAACATTTGTACACTGGTCTCTCTGCTACCTGAGTTTGGATGTAGTCATTCCTCCGTGTTTCCATGCAGCCCACTGGAAGCACATACTCCAGACATTATAAAGGACAGAATTATAATGGGATTCATAGATGGTATTTGGGAGATCAAGACCTGTTGGAAGACCAGTTTGAAGCAAACTATAGTCCTCAGTAAATCTAGTTGAGCATGACTAATACCAGAAAAGGATAAAAATACCTTTCCCTAGCCAATAATTCTCTTTTTATTTTATTTTTTTGAGATTATAATTTAGTTACAACATTTCTCCCTTCCATTTCTTCTTTTAAAACCCTCCCATATATCCCTCCTCACCCTCTTTCAATTCATGGCCTTTTTAGTAATTATTAGTGTATGCATATATACATATTTATATACATATAATATTAAATATAACCTGTTTGACCCATATAATGCTGCCTGTATGTATGTTTTCAGTGATGACATTCGGACCTCACAACCAAGTGGTGTGCTCTTCCCTGAGGAGGGCCACCTCTCCCCATCCCAGATTTACTGAGTTGCTGGTAGCTCTTTGTGAAGGGTTGAGGCTGGTGAGCTCTTCCTTGCGCAGTTTGGCATGTTTGTTGCTGACCTCTTTGTTTAGCTCACATCTGGGCAGTTATGGTATTGAGACTCTATGGATGTAACTTCTGATGTTACTAGGAGAAACAATCTCACAGCCAAGTCCCTGATCCTCTGGTTCTTACAATCTTTCAGCTGCATCTTGGCAGTGTTCCCTGAGCCTTAAGTGTGGCAGTGTTTGGTAGATACATCCAGTGGGACTGAGCTCCAAAACTCTGCATATTGTTTGGTTGTGATTTTCTGTGCTGGTGTCCATTTATTTCAAAAGACAAGTTCCCTTAGTAAAAAGTGGCAACTACGTTTATCCGTGGACATAAGTAAGCACAAATGTTATAGATCATTGTTGGAGATTATGCTGGTTTATTAAACTGGTGGTTGTAGATTCTCCTTGATAACTATCATTTAATTAGCACTGAGTAGTAGTTCTAGTTGGTTTCTAGAAGCAGGGATGGGTCACCCTTTTGCTGAATGGGTCTTAAGTCCAATTAGGTGGTTGGTAACCACCAAGGTGTGTATGCTAATATTACACCCCTATAGTTATTAGGCATGCTGGTTGTTGAAATGGTTAATAGGCATCACAACTGAGTAGTACTGTTAGTCACCTCCCTCCTTTCCAAGCTTGCATGATACTTTCTGGTACCATGTTCTCAAGCTTGCTCTCAGGGAGGGAGCATTCAGGTCAGTTTCAACCCAGGGGTTTCTGAGCCCTGTTTCTGAAGCACATAGTGTCTTCAACAGTAGGGACTTACCTTCCATCTCTGGGGGTATAACCAAGTAGCCAAGATTTTTTTCAAAATAAATAAATAAAAATTAGATTGTTCTCACAGATTTACCCCGATCCAATCTTGTGCTTGCCACACAAAGCCTGTGTTTGCCGGCATCATATTGAATGTACTTTTGCTTCAGTATGTACTTTACTGCAGCTTTCACATCCTTATTCCTCAAGCTATAGATGATTGGGTTCAGCATGGGGGTAACTACTCCATAAAATAAAGAAATGATCTTATCTGAAGTCTGGAACTTGTCTTCCCCAGTCGGATCTTGGGACTTAGGTTTTGCATACATAGAAAAGATGGTACCATAAAATATGACCACCACAGTCAGGTGGGCTGAGCAGGTAGAAAAGGCCTTGCGTCTCCCTGTAGCTGAGTTCATTCTCAAGATGGTGTGGAGGATGAACATGTAAGAGAAAAAGATGAGCAGTAGCGGAAGGACCAGGAAGGCCATATTTGATATCACCATGGTAACAATGTTGAGAGATATATCAGCGCATGCTAGCTTGAGGACAGCTAAGACCTCACAAGTAAAATGATTAATAACATTGTTTCCACAGAAAGGCAACCGCATGGCAAGGGATGTTTGCACGAGTGAATTGATCCCACCAGAAAACCATGATACAGATGCCATTGATACATACACTCCTTTGCTCATGATGATAGAGTATCTCAGAGGGTTGCAGATGGCCACATATCGATCAAAAGCCATCATGCCAAGAAGCAAACATTCTGTCGAACCCATTGCAAATCCAAAGAACATCTGCACTGTGCAACCATAGAAGGAAATGTTTCTTTTCTTTGAGATTAGGCTCACCAGTGTTGAGGGAACAGAGGAAGTTGTGTAGCAGACATCCAGGAAAGAGAGGTTGCCCAGGAAGAAGTACATGGGTGTGTGGAGACGGGAATCAAAGATGCTTGCTATGATCAGAACACCGTTGCCTGTTAGAATAACCAGGTACATAGCCAGAACAAGAGCAAAGTAAATGATCTCGGTCCTTGGGTAACCAGAAAGACCCAAAAGAAGGAATTCGGAAACAAACGTCCGGTTATTTTCATCCATGCCGTCAGCTTTCAGCCATCATTAGAAGACCTACCCTGAAAAAAATCCAATGCCCGAATAAAGTGGGACAAAGTACCTGAAAAAATCATTTTTCATGTATTAGAAAGAGCTCATTTCAGAATCTCCCTTATTGATACCCTCAATAATCTGTTATTAAAATACAGTGAAATTGGGAATCTTGAAAGTACACATGCCTATTGCCAACATATGGCTGTCAATACCAAATACACATTCAAAAGCAATGCTTTCTGTTGTTGAGTATACATTCCTAAGTGTATGCTTCCAACATCCCTGGATAATTACCCACCACACACCTGATTTCTTAATTTCATCTGCCCTGCTAGGTAAGCAATGAAGAAGACACACAAAGCCAAAAGTCTACTCATCAAAGGAAAACCAATGGGGTATAAGTCAGTGATTGACAACAGTAAAAATCCTATAGCAACTTTGATTGTTTTAAATAATATTTCTTTATGTGCCTGATGTAGCAAGCAGTATTAGCTCTTTTAATGGTGCATTTTATCAACATTTATTTACAAGATAAGTAAAGTGGTGTAAGTTAAAATTTAGCATCAGAGAGTTCATCTTGCTGATTTACTTATTAAAGTCAACTTAACATTAGCAATAATGTAAGACATAAGTGAACAGAGTTGGTGGATTAAATGTTTATGGTTTGTTTCTGACTCAAATCTATTTTTTTGTTTTAATATTAGGTTGGTATAGCAACCTTCAGAGATTCAAGAACAATAATTCTATTGCATTTTACAGACAACTTCAAATCTACCTGATACTAAATACTAAAAAATTAAAAGACAATTTAAAATAAAGAATCGATTTGTATCAAACTGTAATAATGTTCTTAGAATATTGTTACTAGATTACCCTAAAGCCAATCTCATTCCAAACACAATAAGAGTAAATGAAAGAATAATAGAAGGTATTGCCATTATGAGATTGACAATTCAATTTATAATACAAAAAAATACATATAAAGATATATTATGGATGCTTATATACTGTGTCTTAGGTCCAAATTATACATTTACTAAGAAGGTTGATGTTTATGAGACATAAATCATCAAGGGAAATATTTTGGATGCTCTGGATGTAGACACATGAAAAGGATCAGATGAGTTTGGAAAGGAAAGGAAGATGGGCGAATGAAATGTGAGAAGCTGATCTAGTTAGAAGACAGATCACCTGGATATCCATTTTATATGAAGCTGTCTCTGTGAGGGTGTGATGGCAAACAGATCTAGGAAAGAAGTAAAAGGGGGACATAGAAATCCTCCAACGTCGGAGGAACTTGGAACTACTTTTGGTTGAGAGTTTAGCAATAGGAAGCAAAAATATATCAGCTTGTGACCTAACTTCAGCTATCCCCTAACACTAATACTATACGATATTATGAGACTTCTAAAGAAAAAATAATTAGAAGACTTGAGCTATTTGAATCAGTGGAACTGTCTCTGGCTGCCGACTAGATGATAAAATCACTCCTTCCGTAATCACTACTGGTTTTGACTCCAGTAAACAATCATAAGTTGCAGCCCTGAGTGGATGAGTAGTTCTGAGAATTCCAGTATATGTGACATACTTTGTGTGTTAGTAACTCAGAAGATTACTAAGCAAATACTATTGGTCAGACATACCTCTAAGTAGGACTGCCCTTNCTCCGTCCGTGCTTTGCTGGCAAGCTTACTAACATTGAGCGAAGCTAGGGGAGGAGGGGTTTCTGTTCGATCATTAATTATTTCCACTTCTGAAACATATTGTAAGTTTATAAGCAAGATGTCTGCATGGTTGGGCTTTCCACTGGAAGAGGGACATTTTAGAGCCAGCATTTCGGACTGGTAGTCGAAGGCTACCACCTCGCCCTGCAGCCACTGCTCCTGGCACGTCCGGCGGCGCGACACCTGGCTCCCAACGCTGAAATACTCGCCCGGAGGAGCCGCCATCTTGGGAGAGCAGCCGCGGCCCGCGGCGGCGGCGGCAGCAGCAGCGGGCGAAAGCCGGGCAATGGGTTAATCTTAATAGTATTCAACACATTTAAACACTGAAGAGAAAGATATTCAATGGCAATCTTATAAATAAAAATAAAGTGGCCTAAAAGAGATTAGTAATTAGTAATTTATATAATTATTAGAAATTAGTAATATTTATTCAGTTTAAGAACAGAGCAGCAGAAGAGGAAGACAGAGTAGAGAAGGAGAGAGATGGGGAGGAAAGGATGAGAAAGGGAGAGAGGGGGAGAGACAGATACAGGAACAGGGACAGAGACAGAAACAGATGGAATGCTAGAAGCAGTTCTTTAAGCCAGTCAGATGGATAACAGCAAGAGGCAAGCATCCTCTCACAATACTCTCTTACCCAACTGGTGCCACTAAGATGTCTATAAAAATTGTATTGTGCACAACAGAAAGTGGTCAACAAGATGCATCGAGAAATGAGTCATAACGGTGAGTCAACTCTAATGCTTAAACAGTGCCTAGAGAAAGGGGACAATGATTTTACACTTATCCAATAGCACCTCATAAATCAAATTTCTCTGTAGATAAATTTCAGAAATTGCCCAAGGGCTACTGGATCACAGACATGAGCAGAAGTATAATTCCAGACCAGAGAAATGAAAAAGGATGAAGATAGGTTAACTCACCAAGACATATGGCCGTGAACACAGTCACATCATGTGGGAGGCCACGCCTAGGAAGCCCACCTTCTTCATCCAGACAAATGTAATGATGAATCATCTTAGATGACCTAAATGGCTTCTCCTGTCACTGTCTCAGACTTCCCCTCCTTGGCTGAATGAAATTCCTTCAACTACTCAAATCCACCAAGAACCAAGCCTGTCTTGCTGTCTTGCTTCTCTTCTGCTCCTGGAACTCCAAGTAGGTTCACTCCTGTGTGAGAGAGGAGTCAGGAGGGAGGAGCTTGACTCTCTTGCTCAGACCTTTACTCCTAAATCAAACACAGTGCAGGGTTTTAGCTGAACACATCAACTTTTACTTTCTAGACCTGCACCATGTATAGAGTCAAGTCCAGGGCAACTTAATGTGCCCAAATTGTTAGCCTCCAACAGACTTATTTTTCAGCTTCTCTTAGTACTAACAGGTTACAATCTTAACTAGATAATCTCCGGTTTAAGCTATGGTGGTAACAGGGGTCAGCTGACACTCATTGATACACATATGAAATAGGTTTAACATCAAGAAAGAGTACTCAGACTAGAACCATAGACTTGGTTTGAGGCTCCCTTTCATTGTCTTACCTGTTTCCTCATTTTGGAAGTACCATAAAAATACCTTACTATTTTCCACATATTATGTATTGTAACAAAAAAACAAAATAGTGTGTAGAAGTTTCTTTAAAGATTGACATGTATAAAAAATGCAATATAAAGTACTGATTCACAGAAGTATTTGGGGAAATAAATTACTTCCTATTTGGCTTCAGGCCATTTGTATTATTAATACATGATGGCTTATGCCTTTAGTTACAAAAAGACTCTAATCGACTCACCCTTATAATGATGGATTTCCACTCCCTTATAGGGACCAGTTACATTTTTATAGAAATTAACTTCACTGTTCTGAAGGTTCAAAAAATATTCCAGATTCTATAGATTTGTCAGAATAAATATTTATTATACAACAGCTATTATAATTGTTCCCCAAATCCCAAAGCAATTTAAAGTTGGGAGTGGGGGGGATCTGGGATAGAGAAACTTCCTCTGCGATAGAGACAGTGTCCCACATACCCAATTAAGTGCAACTGAAAGTGTATCATAGCTGAGCTAACACCTAAGAGGGAAATCAAGTGCCCCAGCCCTTGTGACTTTGGGAAAGGGCAGCAGATGTACAGCTAGCAAACTCCAAAGAGTGGGAGCTTCAGTTTAAAATGTGGACAGTTAACATAAGAGATTAGCTATTCGAACAATGATGGCTATTAGTAAATGCAATAACTAGAAGAATGATCTTGGGGCTGGAGAGATGGCTCAACAAAGAGGTGTTTGCACTGCTCTTGCAGAGAATCTGAGTGCAGTTCCCAGTATCCGTCAACCAGTTCAAAACTGCCTGTAATTCCAATTTCAAAAGATCTGCTGCCTCTACACACACACACACACACAGAACACACACACACACACACAAATACATGCAGTTTAAAAATAAAAGCCTTTCAATTATTTTTTAATTTAAATAAATGAAAAATGAGCATTGATCCCAAATTGGTGCATTTTCATTTAACATTTTCTTTACTCTCTCTTGATTGATTTGCTACAATAATTCCACAGATGATTCCATCACCAATCAAGTTTGAAATGGAGAAAAAGCAATAGAATAAATATGCCCACAAAATATGGTAAATTCATATGTTAAGATCACAAAATGTGGATGTTGGTTAGTGGGTTTTCTTTTCTTTCTTTTCCTTTCTTTCTTTCTTTCTTTCTTTCTTTCTTTCTTTCTTTCTTTCTTTCTTTCTTTCTTTCTTTCTTTTTTGCCCATGGTAAACAATTTGAGACAGATCCAGTACCTTAATCTACAGCATTTGCGAGCAGTCTGTGAAGTGTTCATACACAGAGGTTCACTGTAAAGCTCTTAAGTTCAACATCATCACATGCTTACCAGAGCAGGCACAGTATTGATACATGCAAAAACACAAAACACACAAATACCACAGAATACAAAAATACAGAAAAAAAATGTAAAGAAATGCAATGGTAGAATTTATCCTTTCAGAGATGTGTAAGTTAAAATGAAAACTGTTAAAACACTTTGAAGTCAGTGATATTTAATAAAGTAAAACCTGTAGAAGTAGTCAAGATTACAAGCACTGAGACTCCTCTATGCTTTCTTTACAACTTTCCAATAAATTTCCAACTATTCTAAACTTGAAAGATAATTTAAATAAATATAATTTAAAATGCATCCATGAATTGCTAATATTTCTAAGTTAGAATTTTAATCTGAAAAATCCACAAAAGCCTGCTGGTTCTACTTTCTATACTGAGTAAACTGAAGGGTGAAATCAAGCTCAGAGTCACAGTGTCTCTTCCTAATTTCATCAGTTCTAACTATAAAGTCTAACGTTCAAAGTGATACATCTCTCTAAAATATGTCTTGAGCCAAGCTTTTATCTTTCATAACCAAGATTCATTCAGATTTTCAATTGATTTTATATCCTACTTATCAAATCAATTTGATGAAAACTATTTGCAATCATGATCCAGTTCACTGGACACTGTGGACATGACTTTTGATGTAGCAATTTGCAAGGAACTAGGATCTAGTTATATTCAATATATGTGTATATTAAATGCACACAGCATACAAAGATCACATTATTATGTAAGGAAAAGCTTCCTACAAAAAACACTTAAAGTGGCAATATATTCTCCAATTCATACAATGCAAATAAAGTGCCAGAAAAATCTTGTTACTTTACTAGAATATATTTTTATCAAGATTTTGAAGTGGAAATTGAACCGTGAAATACGCACTTCGATATGCATATAAATAAAATTATAAAAAGAAATAAAAATGACTTGTATAAGTTCCCTATTTTCATCTCTAAACAGAGAGTGTGATGCATTCTTTGAAAAGCAAATACTTATAATATATTGATTTATTATAGCCAGGTCTATACCAGCACCGAGAGATACTTTTAGTCAAACAATATTTTACCTTCATTTTCTAGGCTTCACTTTTTCAAAGTAATACCCAACAGAATCTTAGAGTTCACAGACTATGCTCATATTCATAATTGCATTTAGAAGCCTTTCTGAGTGTCTATTATCTGCAAGACAATGAAGTCGTTATAATCCCTCTCCTCCGGTTTTCAACACAGCGGGATAAACAGACCTAGGAAGGACTGAATATAATACAACTTGATGAGCAGTTGAAAATTATTTATGAGCAATCTTATTGTATTTCAGTAGTAATTTCCTCTCCCTCACTTTAATGTGCCTGGTGATTCTAAAAGTGCACAAAGCGGTTCATTAGACTTTAATGCCTTATGAAGCTATCAGTGTGCGACTTAATAGCAAACCCCACACAGCTGTGTTCGCTAGCTTCCCAGTACCATCATCTACGTCTCTCCAATTTGTCTACAATTTGAGTCTCTACAGCATTACTAGCTTCACTTTACCCAAAATTGACCAGTGTTTTTTTTTGACGTTGAAAAAATTTTGTTTTCATTTTAATCTGAATAGATTTTCTTTATTAAAGATAGATTGATTAGAGTAGACATCTACAAAGCTAGCTTGCTGTGGTTTTAGTTTGAAGGAAATCCTGTATGCAATGCCTTTCTCCAGTGATGTATTTAAAAAACCCAGTGTTTTTAAACTAAAACTAAAACTAAAAACCTAATAACTAAAACTAAAAAACTATTCCCTTTACATGGTTCTCACCAACTCAAATACTAGGAAAAGCATTAAGTTTTAATGAAAAAAAAAGGCAGAACAAAATTCAATTTACAAAAAAAGGGGGGAATATAAAACTTAGACGGTGGGCCAATCAGATTGCTCAACATGTCAATAAACACCTGTCACCCTTGTCCATCTCAGGAACTCAAGTGGAAGGAAATGGGGTCTTGAAAGTTGTTCTCTGATCTTCAACGGAAAACACGGATTGTGCATGCCTATAGACATGCACACATGTGCGTGCATGCGCACACAGACACACATTTGATAATTAATATTTTCTGTTGTCTTTGTGACTACACATGAACCTACTGGAATTTTAATTATCATCTGCAGTCTGTGGCCCCATAGAGAGCACAGCGCAAGCCACTCAGGCCACAGCCTGGCAGGGCTTCAGGACCTGTGGCCCAGGCCTGCCTCAGCCGCCATATGCAAGTTGAAATTAAGTCTCTATCATTCTATTTATCACTAAGATTTGGGAGTCAAAGACTTGAGTTTAAACCTTCCAGATCAGAGAGGTTGGGTAGCCTCTAGCTGACCTTGCATTTTGGCTGTAGATACAGCAAGAGACAC